CCCCCCTTCTCCTTTCCCCCCTTCTCCTTTCAGCAAAAGATAAACCTGAAAGCATGTCTTCAGTACAGAGCTAGGAAGAAAGATATTAATATAATTAAATAGGGTAACGATGTCCTTTCTGGACAAGAAAGCAGCCACTGAGCAGACTAATTTCACTAATAATGCGCTGATTTGCATGATTAGGGGCATAATAGCCTGACATAGCGACATATTTGTGGCCATTCGATTGACAACCAGGTCAATATATACCTGCAGTAATGAAGTAAACGTGTGGGTCATAAAAAGAAAAGCTTATTTATTTTGCTATCGTTGTGTTCATTTGGGGAGCTACTTGGTGTTTTCCCCTCTAGCCCCACGTTCAAACCACCCACGCTGCTTTCGGATGTTGGAGACGGTTCAGGTTTTAAATTAGTCCACAGGAGAGACGTGGAATCTGCTGAAAAATGCATCCTGGAAGAAAAAATGGTCACATCCAGAAGGTTCTTAGGTTTCTTGCCCCTTAAATGCACGTCGCTGCCATGCTGCAGCCCTCCCAGCCCTGCAAATCTTGTACCACTAGCCAAGGGCTCTTTTATTTTTGTTTCTTCTTTTTTATTTTTTCCTTCCCCACACTAACAGTCCTTGGTGTTAATAGTTTGAAGCTGAACGTGCTTGTGTTTATCCAGGACGATATGAGGGGATAGATGTTAATCATATGTATCAAAACGCCGGGAGCTGGAACTCCGTGTCAGTTTTGAAGTAATGATTTAATTGGAAAGGTCTTTAAAAGTGTGTTTGCCGAATCATTTGAGCCAACATATACGGCAATAACTTAAGCCATTTGTTGATTTTTGACTTGTGAATAATTAATGTCCTCATCCAGACTCCCTCTCAGTACAAATACTCCTTTGGGACACGGCAATATTTTTCACCACATGAAAATCACATAATCCAGACTTAGTCTTGGATCTCCACGGTAGATCACGACGGAAAATAATCGCGTTAATCCTATTTGCTATTTTATTTTCGTCACTGAAAAATGATTTCGTTTCTGTCTCTCCAAGGTTATTGGAGTTGTTCCCTTTGCCAGTGCCTCGGTTTTATTACCGTTGCCCTTTTGATGTGGGTTTGAGGGACGTGTACCTGCAGCGCGCTGCTTTCCGAGGAGCTCCAAGCATCTGTAGACCTCAGAAGACAGACAGTTGCTGCTGCTCAGCACCCTCCTGAATGAAACCCGGGGCGCTTTTCTTGTGTTAACTGAAGTCTGAGTCAGTGCTGATTGTTTTGCACTTCCTTCACAGCAGCATTGGCTCCGAATCAATATTCATGTCTTTAATCCCCACTTGTCTACGAGACCGTCGCTCGCTGGGCAGCGGAGAGGGTGACTCTGTGTGTTGACTCTTGGTGCTGAGCTCTGGTTTTAGCGCCCAGCGTGATGGTCCTGACATTAAAAGGAGGCCGGCGCAGCCAGCTTCCTCACTTATTATGTGACCACCGTGTGCCTCTTGGTCACAGCTTTAAAAATTGTCACCGTTTCGTACTCCTCGAGCTTGAGGTTGTTCGGGAAAGGTGGGCGGGCAGGGCTGCCCGCCCTCTCGAGCAAATGCCTTGTGTAATTCCTGAGGTCGCTGCAGAAGTCCTGTTCGCCAGGTGAATGGAAATGGCAGTGTTTCGCGTACGTGCCTGGCATCCAGCGGCCTCTCCCGACTCGCTAGGTTGCTCAAGATGCCGCTCTCTGGCGGTTTCCCACCCTCTTAGGCTATACGGAACGTAATTTCATTTTCATGCGCGCTGCGGGGACGCTCGGCTTTTCAATCTGTTACGAAGCAGCGTCATTTCTCAGTCACTTTATATGCAGCTCAAAACGATGTAAATCTAAACAAATACTCCTGATTAGGGAAGCACTTAACAGATCTGATTTGGATTCCACGACCCAGCTGAGCAACAGACCCTCTGACAGAAAAGCTGACACCTGCCCGAGAGGAATCCATCAGGCTCCTGTGGGTTTTTTTAATATTTGTTTATCAGGGCGGTGAGCAGCGACAGACCTGCCCATCTCACCTCAGATTACTGGTGTCAGTCAGCCTTTGGGGGCAGGTTTTTGTCTGTGTCTTCACTCCTTGTCCCGCTACTGATGGGAGGGCAAGGACCTCTCAGCTCTAGAGTGAGCCTTTCGCCGCCCTGGAGGAAGCACTTTCTGGGCATAGGAGTTAAAGTAGAATCATTTGGTGTGAAGGGATCCTCTAGTCCAGCTGGTGGATGTCAGCTGAGGGTGGGAAGTTTTGTTCTCCTTGCCCCTCTGCTGCACGAGTGGAGGGAGGATGTTGGCTTCCATTAGCAATCAAACGACGAAGAAAATACGGTTGTTAAATTCCCCGAGCAGCGCATGTTCTCTGCTCTCCCGGGTTGTGCAGGAAGGCGGTAAGCAGCCTGCATTTGCTGTCTGCCCAGGGGCTGGGGGTGGAAGCGTGAAGAGTTTTCCTTGCTCATGGTGTTAACGTGGGCCGGACGTGATGTCTGTGCTTCTTTCCAGTACGGCGACTACGATCCCAACGTCCACAAGCGAGGCTTCTTGGCGCAAGAGGAGTTGCTTCCAAAGCGGGTGAGGAGCTGGGCTGAGCAGAGGAGTGCGTTTCCGAGCCTGGTGGCGTTTTGTTTAGCAGAGCCCTTTGTGGAGAGACTCTCGGTGGGGCTGTCAGGTCCTTACTGAGGCGAGGAATCCAGAAAGATGTATTCAGGGAGGAGAATTTTCTCTCTTTGCATGGATCCTGCCTGCACCTCTTCATGATGGCCTGGGTGCTGCTCTGGCAGGGGGATTGGACCCGATGATCTCCAGAGGCCTCTTCTAACCCTGAACACTCTGTGGTTCTGTGACAGCTTGGGAGGGTTGAGCAAGGGGCTGAGCCTGTCGGGAGGGGTTACCTGGGGCTCGGGTGCTTACGCGGCCTGAGGAGGCTGAGGAGAGCAGCGGCATGACCTGCTCTCTGTTTCCCCCCGCTATCTCAGGTAATCAACCTGTACCAGATGACCCCAGAGATGTGGGAGGAAAGGATAACAGCCTGGTACGCAGAGCACCGAGGCAGAGCGAGGTGAGTGTGTGCCGCAGGGCCAGTCCCCTCACCCCAGGGGTCGCCGGGGTTTGGGGAGCTGGATGAGCTGACAGCAGGGTTCATCCCGGCACGCCGCTGCAGCGGACTGACAAAGGGCAAAGGGCTTTCTCTGCTTGCCCTGCTGCCCCCAGCCCTGCCTGGGCCGGGAAAGGGGATTCAGCCTGATGAGGTGCTGTTGCTGCCTCGGGTGATCAAGTGCTCCTTGTGTGGGATAAGCCTCAAGTCAGACGGATCTGAAACAGTGGCCTCCCAGCCGGGCAAAGCCCTATTTGGGCTGAAGTTGTTGGGAGCTGCACGCAGCCAGCCTTGAAGTGTTGCATCTCGCCAGGCAGCGTTAAGATGCCAACAAGCTGCAGAGTAGGATTTGCTGTTGGGCTTTATTGATCCTGCCAGCAAAGACAGGCTTGACCTCTGTGATAAGAGAGAGTCCAAGCTTTAAAGCCTTGTGTGTGCTTAGGCTCAGAAAGAACCATCCCCCTCTCTCTAATCCTACCAAACATCCTAACGCTGGCCTTTTTTTTTTTTTGTCCGACAGAGACGAAGCTGAAATGGAATATTTGAAGATAGCTCAGGACTTGGAGATGTACGGAGTGAACTATTTTGCGATTAGGGTGAGTGCAGGTCCCTGGGTCGTGTTTTCTTGCCGGCTCAGCTCTCGTGTTGGTCTCCGTGGGCTGAGCGGAGCTGTTGGCAAGCCAGCAGAGCAGGGAGGCAGGAGCTCTGCCACCACGCAATGCTGGTGGGTCACGGCTCAGGGCTGCTTGGTGCAGCTAATTGTGGTTTGTGTCGGGCTTTCCAAGTGGGGTAGAAGGACTTCCTTGCTCTTCTCTTCCCTCCTGTAGAATAAAAAGGGCACCGAACTGCTCCTTGGAGTTGACGCCTTGGGTCTTCACATTTATGACCCGGACAACAGGTTGACCCCTAAAATCTCCTTCCCGTGGAACGAGATCCGAAACATCTCATACAGTGATAAAGAGGTATGGAGACGTCTCCCCTCCCCTCTGAGAGCAGTAAGAACACGATGGCGATTTAAAATCATTTCTCTTAGCTTCTCTGTCAGCTGTGCTTGCTATCGCTAGCTTAGCTTCACCAACCAAACCCCTAATTCTGGGCCTTTCTCTGAAACCTTCCGGGAGTGGGCGTACAAGAGGTCAGCTGGGAGCTATTCTTCTGTTTGGTTTTAGGCTACGTTCAAATTCACTGTGTAATTTTTTTTTTTCAAAAAAGCCAAGCAACCAAAATTGTTGTTGATGTGCTTAGCCCAAATTTGAAATCTCTACTTTATTGTATATGTTACGCTGTGTATTACTCTGTGTGTGTGTGTGCATGTATATATGTATATTGCTGAGTGTGTATATATGTATATTACTCTATATTACTGTATCATGAAATATCAGGAGTTGTCTTCCTGGCAAGAAGAGCTCTTGCCATATCATCACATCTTCTCGAGTTTTCAGGCTGCCAGGCTTGGCGTAACAGCTGGAATCTTTTTTCAGGAGTTGAGTAATTTAAGCCCGTGATTGGCTAGAGATTTATGAAATCCAGAGCGCAAGTAGGCATCTTCTGAATCGTTGGCCACCAAACCTAGTGGAGAATAGCGGTGAAATCGGCTGTGGCGGGGAAACTGATCTGCTCAGTTTTCAGCGTGGTGGCTGCTCACAGAAAACCATCTGCCTTCGTGATAAGGGAGAAAATTAACTTCTTAATTAAAAATTGTTTTCCAATCTAAACGTGATATCGATCGGGGTAAAAGTTAAAGGTTTCTCATCAGCTGTGTTTTATTGCATGTCTTGTGAAGCTTTCTGAGCAGTAAGGCCGCACTGGAATTATCTTTACTTCCTTTACTCCTTAAAAATAAAGAGCTTCACAGCTCTGTGGAACAGCCCAGCGCTTGCTGGCTTGCGAGGGCTTTCCTGCCGGCGGCGGGTGAGCGCCGTGGAAGCTTTCTGCTCGGGAATCGGGGGATCGAAGCCTCTGTCACCAGGCCGTGACACAGGCTGGTAACAGAGCTTGCTCTTGGAGGCAAGCGCTGCCACCTTCCGTCAGGTCAACCATCCTTGGCTTACGATGACCGCGAGGAGACCTGACGTAGTGAACAGGCGTAATAGCTGGGTGTGACACGACGGAGGGGTGGAATCTGTTGTGCCAAAGCTTGACTGTTAACTGAAATTCTTCTCCTGACCTATTTCTGCTATTGCTTTCCGTGCCTGCTGTGGCTTCTGCCGGAGCCTGAGTCTGGGGATGTTCACGCGTGCCTGCCTGTGTGAAAATCTTCAAAGATTGGTTCTTAAACTGACAAAAGAAAGCAGTGCCAGGGCGAGCTCTGCTGAGCCCCTTGCAGGCAGCGCAGCGTGTTGACAAATAGAGCTGCTTTAGTGGGCACAGGCTGCCTGATAGAGCAGTGAGGTTTGTAGCGCAGAGGGGAGCCATGGAATAGATGCACGCGCCTTTTAAAGATCGCGGTGGCGTGGAGCACCTCGTCTCTTCAAGTATCCTTTTGTTAGTTCAGAGCCTGTGTTATTCGTAGCTCTCGAGTCTGGCAGTGCCACCTCTCAAGAGACCCACTGAGGGACGACAGCGCTTTGGAACGGGCAAACCCGGGCCGTGGTTACAGCTGTTGGGCTGACACGTGGAGGGGAAACACCAATTGGAACAAGGGGGTAGTGTTTTGAATTGCAGGCACAGCTGACTTCTGGAGAACACGGGAAATCTTTTGGGGGAGGCCTTGTGAGCGGAGGTGTCAGCGGGAAGGGCGGCAGCTCCTCTTGCTGCGTTCCTCGTACAACCCTTGTGCCCGCCTGTCAGGCGGCTGAGCGGGGTCTTCAGGGA